CCAAGTGGGAGGCCAGCTAATTGCTTAGCGCCTTAAAGCCTTTCCACTGATGTATTTCTTGCATGTTACTGCTTATAAAGGACTGGGGGTTCTTCTGGCCTAAGGGGTGTCTGATTTTTATGATGTCTCTATGGCCAGCAATGCACGCTCAGAGGTGACATGAAAACCCAGTGAGAACATCAGTGCCTCTCTAGGTTGCTATTAATGAGCACTGTCAGTGTGTTGAGTTTTCTGTAAAATCAAGTAAATTGACTTAGTAAAAAAAGAGCTTTTATTTTAAAAAAATTATGAAAACTTAAAGGACACTTTTTTTTCAAGACAATATAATTGTTGTAATAAATTGACAAGAAAAATAAGCGGGCCACTATGTAACAGGAGTGAATTTGGTTTTAGTATGTAGTACAAACTAAAGTCACAATCTGCTCAGTGAATAAAATAATCAGGATGCCAAGGATGTTACAGAAACCAATATGCACACATGCTTTTATATAGCTGTCCTCTTCTGCTGCTTTACAAGGTGATCACCTGCACGTGGCCCATGGGATGGAGCAGTCTCACCCCAGCCTGAGAGCCCCTGGGTGCTGTAGGCTGAAGGCAGATCTTCCCCCAGAGATCTGAGCTGCCTCTGCTGGCCGGTGTGAGATGTGTGCACGTCCCTGAGGCGGTGCCACAGCCAGGGGAATTGCGGAGGTGCTTGGGGAGGTCTCGTGGAGTCTTTGCATTAAACAAGTTTGCCAGCTGGGTGATTTCTGCAAGCTTGCTGTGAACTGATGTAATCAACAGCAGCACGAGTATCTAATGCTAAGGGTAAAATTGCTGGCTACTTCAAAATTAAATTAAAAAAAAACATGAAGCAGAGTTACGGTAGTGACAGGAAACAATAAAACAAAGGAAGTTCAGATGAGGTTGAAGCATATCCTGTTCTCCCAGCAGCGGGGCGTATTAAAGGAACACAGCAGGCCTGAATATAGGTTTTCCTTGACAGTCCTTTCCCAGTGGGCTGTTTTCACAGGGTTTGAGGTGAGCTTTGCGGGGTCACAGTCCTCATTCTGTACTCTGTCATAACCCAGAATATCCCATGACCTCGGGATACCGATCCTCCCCCAGTGCCAGGCTGCTTGCCCACTGCTCCTGCCTGCTCCTGAGTGCACAGAGCTCCTCGGCGGGGAGAGCACCACTGACATGAGCATCACTTTCTGCTATAGCCAGGTTAATGCAGTAAGAAAAAAAATGAATAACACAAGTTATTTTGTAAGAGAGCTGGCATCTTCAGGCTGAACTGCCTTCCTTGTCTCGTGGATCTTACGGAAGCTTGGGGGTACTTCTGTTCCTAGAGGACAGCATGTATCATTTAACCTTATCAGCAAATGTCTTTATTTGTGCTGCACACACATAAGCGAAATATAATGTTAAAACCCAGCCAAGCTTTTAATAAAATGTACTCTGCGTGCTGAAATGCAGCCAGCGTGCGATGTCTGCATGCTAAAAATTGTTTGGGGCCATCTATAAACGTGCTGCACGTTTTGAGTTTTGCGGATGAGACCAAATCTCATTTTCTTTTCAGAACTGCCATAATTTCTCATCCTGGGAAATTTAGGAAATAAAGATGCTTTTTACACATTTAGTGTTTATTTGCTGTTAACTATTAAAGCCCTGTAAATCTTCTTACTGCGTTTGCCGTAAAACTTAATAAGGTGCATTAAATGTGGGAGATGGTGACAACTTCAGCTGCTGTCTGCCTTGCAAATCTTAGGCCCTTCAGAGCGTGCTCTGCACCTATTGCTTCCGCGGTCATAAAACAACAGTGCTGCTTTCCATTCTAACTTCCCTTTTTATAAACTCGTAATTTAAGGAAAGGTTTGGGAGAAGAACTTGTTGTTCTTGGATGTGGTCTAAAGATGGGATTTTTTTTATTTTTATAAAAATGAAAGAAATCCGTATTTGTTGGATTAAGGAGGAACAGCACAAGCTCTGTTTGTGTGTTTGCAAATGTGTGGCATTACAACATGTTTTTCATTAATTAACCAGGTGGGAGTCGTGGGAAGGGAATGAAATAACACATGGAGCCTCTTAGGGAGAATTTATTTGATCTAAACCCAACTGAAGCATTACCTCGGAAGAGGCATAAGTAGCACTTAGGAATTCACAGTTTTATCTCCTGTCCTCCCCATCTGAAGCCCATGAGGTTTCTGCTTGAAGTTCTTAAATTGATTAAGCAGGTTATTTTGCACTAAGAGTCGTTCTCATGTGCTTCTGGACTTCAGATTTCTGCAGCAAACAAGAAAACCGAAGCGGGAGCCCCGGTTCCCAGCTAAACCCGGGGTGCTGCATTTCAGCACGCAGCAGCACATTTTTCCTGCCAGGCTGTAATCTCTTGATAATGGAAACCCTGACGCATAACCTTAACTGCAGCTTTGCAGTGGCATTATCATCACATTGATAAACATGCCATCTGAGCTCTGTTAGGCAGAACATAATGGCTTTGTGTATCTTGTCATGATATTTGTTTCTTGGGATAAAATATGGGACCTGCACGGAGCACATATGCAAACATTAGCATACTTGTTCCTTGTTCTTCCCCGGTTATTTATAGCTCCCTGTTTACACATTGGAGCAGGATACTGTAGAATCTAATAAATTTTACTGGGGCCACCGAAATTATAAAATGGCAGGAGGAGAGCTTGTGTTCTGGCTGGTCAATAGCCATGGTAACCACTCCATAAACATCTCTGTGGGCTGTCAGTATTGACTGGCCCAGCGAGCCATGGGATTTCCTAATGCTGCTTCACAACAATAATTATCCACAGCATTTTTGTCAGCTGCGTTACGGATGGCCTTCGGCCACAGCACAAACAGTAAAGCTGACAGCGTTCTGTCATAAGCAATGTTTTCAAGTAATGCTGAAGTGGTCGCGTTGAAATGCTTCTCAGTTTTTCAAAGTACACAATTTGGATTTTCATACAGTTGTGCTTTAGAGCCCCTTCTGTTTGACCAGAGCTTCCCCTCCTGTGCAGCTGTAAGGCTCATGGTTCTACAGGGCAGCGCTGGTGTTGCCAGGTGCCTTCTGCCAGCTCACGAGATGCAGATGTGCCATTTGTTGCACATCACTTGTGCAGGGAGGAGAAAATCTCAGCTGCCAGGCAGCCTGTTTGATGGCACACGGGAGAGCCACAGGTCACTGATGTGGTAACGATTTGTTTCTTCAATATTTAAAAGCACTTTGGAGCACGCTCTGTTGTGCCTGACCTGGAGAAAAGCAGCTCCTGCTGCAGGCGGGGGGAGAACTGAACACCGTGCCTGAATTAATGGAGGACTGGAACAGGAAGGAGAACTTGGAGAATTTAAATTCCTTCTTAAAAAGGCAGTAACAATGGCCAGGCCTTGCTAAGTTGTAGATTTTCTATTGAAGTTGATGGAGCTGCCGCTTGTGCGTGGTTGATAAGATGCGGTGAGCCACAGACAGGGATCCCATTGCTGTTTTGGCACGTGGGAAAGGCAGGAGGGGGCTCCTTAGCTTTGCCTGGAGCTGCTGCCATCTATGCTGGCCAGGAAGCACGAAGCAGAAGAGGTACAGCCACGGAGTGACCTCCCCCTCAGTGCCCTGGAAGCTCCAGGCGTTTCTCATGCTAAATGCCCAGAGGTACGGAGCACTGCCTGCTGCACGGTGCTGCTCCGTTGCTCTGCGGCTCTCTGCCTGTGCTGGGCTGCTTCCTTGCTGCGAGTCTTTGCTCCTGCAGCCTTCATGCACATCCAGCTGGTGGCTGTGAGCAGAGGCTGGCAGGGCTGGAAGCTCCCAGCACACACGTGCCCCAGGCGTGTTCCTGGCTCACCCTGCAGCCCTACTGGTTTGGAGGGTCAGGGTTAGGCGAGGACAGAGCCCTGTGGGAGCAGATCGGCAGAATGATAAGGGGTGAGGTGGCAGTGCTGGAGCTCAGGAGGGCCCTGTTCGCTCGTGTTGCCCTCACGCACCGCGGCACTTGCCTGTGTGCACAGAGATGTGGTGCAACGTGCACTAAGCCGACCTAAGAGCCGCGTTTCTGCTTCGGGCATTACCCGTTCCCTGGCACGTTGGGGCCGGGCCGCTTACCGGCATCCCTTTGTAGGCAGAAGTTGGTACGTGCCAGCGTGTGCACTGCTGTTAGGGCAAGGGCACGCCGAGCTCCGGCCCTTCAGGACAGGGACACGCGGTGCTGCGTTTTAATCTCGCGGTTGCGCTCTGGCGTGGCCAGATGTGGATCGTCAGGGTCCCTTCCACCCCCGGCCCTTCTGCCATGCCGTACACCGTCGGGGCGCGGCCAGCCGACCCCGGCCAGGCTAGGGGCTCCTCGGGCGGAGGCGGCGCAGCCCCGGTCCGAACACGGCCGTCGCTTCCCAGCTCCGCGGGGCCGGGGGGGCCGGGCCGATCCAGGCCGCCTTTTGCGGCGCACCCGCCCAGCCCCGCCGCGATCACATGCTGGGCGCCCGCGGCCGCCTCCCGCCCGGCCCGGCCCTCCGCTCCGCCGCCGCCCGCCATCGCCGCGCTCCCCCTCCCCGCGCCGCCGGATCCCCCTCCTCCCCCTTCTCCTCCTCCGGCCCCGGGGCTGCGCTCGGGGGGCTCCTTGGGAGCCGCGGGTTGTGCCGGTGGGGCTGCCGGGGCTGCCGGCCGTCGCGCCGCGGGCTCGGATCACTTTTCTCCCCGGGAAATCGCCGCCGCGCATTCGCCGTTCGCCGCTTCTGCCGAGTTGGGAAGCGGCTCGGGGCCGCGCGGAGCTCAGCCGGGTTCGGCTCGGCTCGGCGCTGGCTGCGGCACCGACTGCGCTCAGAGCCGTCGGAGATCGGACGCCGAAGGGAATCCGATGTGATTTCGGCCGTGTCTGCGCGGAGCCGTCCCTCCCCGCCTGCGTACGTGTGCGCTTCTCTCGCTCTCGCTCTCTCTCGCCCGGTACCCGGGCTGCCGTGCCGCTCCGGGAGCGCTCTGCCTTCCCCTGCTGACGTGCCCTTTTTGTTATCTTTTATCGCAGAAACGGTTCATTAAGGGGCTGAGGCAGTACGGCAAGAACTTCTTCAGGATCCGAAAGGAGTTGCTACCGAATAAGGAGACCGTGAGTACATCCAGACTTTGTGTCATTCGCCTTTCTGCTGTTCGGTGCTCGCTCTTACAGAGCCGTTCCCTTCCCACCCCGATTGAATTCTGCTGGCCCTGAGGGAAGAGGAGCGCGCAGCTGTGGGAAGGTGGCGGTGATTTTTGGGGCTGTTTGTGGGGTTTCGGTGTGTGAAAGGCGTTACGTAAAGGAGTCGGTGCCGGACGGAGTCGTTCAGGCAGCGCGGAGTGTATTTCTGGAGAGCAAATCTAATTTTAAATTCTGACATTATGAGGGGATAATACGTTTATGTCGCCGAGTCGGGCTCAAATGGCAGCGGGTAATTAAAGCAAGCCTAAACCAAAACAGAATCTAATTGAATCTGGAAGAATGAGGTATGTGCTGCTGCTCCCCGACCTGCGCGCTCCGTGCTCGCGTTTAACTCTTCGTCTCCTGCAGCGTGCGGGCAGCGAATGTGGAACTTCAGCTGCAGAAACTGCTCTGTGCCTCCAACTTCACGCAGCTCCACGGCTGCACGGCTCTGCTGCAAACCCCGGGGTGGGCAGGGAGCAGGGTGAGGTTTCTTTGGGGGCAGAGGGAGGCTTTGGGAAGCCTGGGGAATGCAGTTTGCTTCCCACGAGTGCTGCTCACCCGGCGTCTCTAGAAGCTTCGGTTTCAATGCTGCAGGTGTCTAAATAGGCAGCTAAATGCTGCCAGGAGGGTCTGGGAGAGCAGTGCTCACGTTTGTTCTGAATTCAGATAGCGGTGGGAAAAAAACCAGGGCAGAGCGGCTGTATTTTAGCAGTGTCAGTGCATTTACGTTAGCGATGCCGTTTATTTAGAGCGCGATGGAGGTGAGGATGTTCAGACTGTTCTTTGTGTTTTTTGTTGTGGTTTTTTTTTTTTTTTGTGGAAGCTGGAGGTTCGGTAGGAAAGAGCATCCCTGTGAAAATATTTGTACGGCTCTGACAGACCATAGGATGTGTCGGTTCTCTCCTTGTGACGTGGTGCTGTGATATCACAGCCGTGCGTCAGTAAATGGTTAATGAGAGCGGTGAATCAGATGGAAGGGGAGGGGGCAGTGGTTCCTGGGGTGCCTGGGTCGGTCTCTGATTACACTGAGAGCGATAGGAAAACCTAATTGCCAAACAAGTGTGGGTAGACTCAGCTTTGGTATTTGGTCGGGGTTGGGGCAGGAAGGCCTGGTTTGGGGAGGGGGACAGCCGAAATAGAATGCTTCTTAGCAGCGCACCTTCAGCTTCAGCGCTTCTTTCCTCTTTGCAGCAGTACTTAAGCATGTATTTAGGACAGATCAATATGTACTTCAGAAGGTATTCTTGCTGATGGTAAAGTTACTGACGGTCCTGAGTGCTCTTTTAAAGTTTGAATGAGAGCTGTGAAATACGGTTTTAAATATAACATGCCTTTTTGTGGTGGGGAAAAGGCGCCTGCAGGAGAAAAGGAAGACTAAAGCTGAGAGCTGGGGGCACGTGCCTGACCCTGCTTCTGCTGCGTGGTTTCTGCTGCTTGCACTTGGATATCAGGCCTAAGGCTCTGCAAAAGGTTTGCAAGCGGTGTGAAATGTGATCCAGGCTGTTATTGCTCAAGTGTTAGATTTTTGTTTCGTTAAGCCTCCATTTTTAGCGCAGGGAAGACTAAATATTAACTCGGAGCAACTGGGCGCCGTGTGCTGGTGGCTCGGAGCAGGCTGCTGTAGCCCCTGGTGGTAACTGATCTACAAGTAACCTTTGACCAGCAGCAGATTGTTTAATCTCTGTTTCCTATTTTTGCCTACAGGTCCCCTTCTGCGCTCTTTTAATTCCCACTTTATTTTTTTCCCCCCCAAAACAAAACTTGCAGCACTTTTTCTATCACAAGATGCCCAGAATAAAGGCAGCAGTAAATAATACCTGACTATTCAGCTTTGCTTTTCCTCGTTATGTGGAATATTGCAAATTACAAGGTTGTAGAATTAATTTCTCTGCGCTTTTTTTCATCCCCAGAATAATTTCAGATACTTTGCTTGTCATTCTTCTGTTGCAGCACAAAGCAACCCCTTAGCAATTCCAGAAATGCTGCAAAGAAGGCCTTCTTTTCCTGCTTAGCCACCATATTAACATGAGGTAAATCCGTGAAGTCATCTATACGCTCACAGGAGAGCTACAGCAACTCCTCAGTCCTGCAGGAGCTGCTTGAAAATGAGACAGGGACATTCTTGAAGTGACTTGCTCTAAATGGAAACCAGGTTATGGGTCAGCACAGCCTGCACGCTTCTCATTTGTTAGCCTCCACCTAACTAGTGCCTGCAGTCTGCAGGGAGGGCAGGCAGGGATTCTCCCTCTCTGGAAAACCCACTGAAAATGAAGTTTCCTTATTTTCATGCTTTTCCCCAGTGCTTTCCTTTTAATGCTGGAAGAACTCCTCCTAATGCCTCCTTAAGCCCGGCGCTCAGTCTATTGCATTAGCAGAAGACAGAAATACAAAATTATACAAAATTATACAGGAGCTAGGCCTGCCATGTATTAAAACAAGTCAATGTTACTGTAAAGGATGTCTGAGGATTAACATGATGGTGTTCCTTTCATAATACCAGGAGGTACACAGCAGCTGTGGTGAGCAATGAGAATTAGGCCACGCTGTACACGTCCTCACAAACAGTGATGTCCTATTTGAGTTACACCTGTGCTTTTTTTCTCTCTGCAGTCAACATGTTAAGAACCCTGTGTTTCTCACGTGTATTTTAACTAACTTAGCACGTTTTTCCAGTATTTTTAAGCACAGTTAATTCTAAGTGAATAGCCAGCAAGAAAAGATCTTCATGAAAAAAGAAACCAACCCACCAACTGTGTATTAAGGCAGTATTTTTGATGAGGTCTTCGCCAGCCCAGTTTATTTCAAAGCAGTTATGTGGAAGGGAGGTTCCCAGTGGGCATGGGGGTAAACAGCTGTAGCATTCTTTCTTTTCAAGCTTTTATGAGCAAGAGACACAGGAACTAAAGCAGCTCTTATCTGAGCGTGCCCCCTGCTGAAACAGGAGTGCTGAAGTTGATGAAGGAAAGCGGATGGCTTTGAGGCTGCATCAGTGTTAAGTGGGGATGTAGGGGAGAAAAGGGGCTTAAATGCAGCATCTGAAACTTGCTGGGTTTCCACTGAGCTCTGACCTCGTGTCTCCATCCTTCCCCGTGTTCCCAGATAGTTTCCTCTGGTTGTGGCCCCAGCCGTAGTTGAATGGCACTGCTGGGGACATAGCCTGCTCTCTTAGCAGCCCTCCTGATTCTTCCTCATGGTATGCCAGGAACTTGTGGAGACGTCGTTGTGACGCGACCGGTCTTCATTAATAACTTCATCTAGATTCCTGTGTTGTGAGATGCAAGCTAAACAGCTAGCAGCAAGGTTTCGTAATCATCCCAGTTGGCTTTGTGTGTGCTTTTTCTTCCTGTTTTGGGCTAATTTGCTAAAACGTGGTGGTAGGGGATTCTCAAAGCGTTAACAGTTCTCCGCTCTGAATTCTTCAGGTGATTACAGTGAATTTGAGCACCTCAGAAGGACCAGCACCGATAGGCCTTTGCTAAGTGGGCTTACAGGCCTGCAAGGTTGGGACTTGACTTTTTGTGTTCTTGTAAATAGCTTAACTCCGTGCCAGTGACGTGCACAAGGTAAGCAGAAGCTGGGTGCAGTGGGAGGAGGAGGCTGAGTCACACTGTTGGCTCGCTCATGGTCAGGGCTGGCTCCTGCTCCCGTCCCAGGCCTGTCCCCCGATGCAGGGCTGTAGGCTCCTGGGGTCGGTGTCACAGGGTGCCTGAGCTGTTGGAGGCCACAGTCCCAGAAGAAAGGATCTGACTGTTATCTCGTTTGAGTTCTGTAGTCCCATTTGGAGTCGATGTGTCTCTGACCAGCAGAGGTCAAACTCCTTAGCCCCTAGAAATGGAGAGGGGCGTATGTGTGTGTCCCTTCAAGCAGCTCTGTGTAAGTTTCAGGCTAGTAATGTGTGTCAGTAGGTGGCTGTCACAATTGCTGCAGTTGAACAGGGCTAAGGAAACACCAAACTTTTCATGGGAATGGGCCCAAGTACTTCTAACCTTTTTTTTTTTCTAGCCTGTTTTTCAAACCAGGGATGGCACCTCCTTGAATGCCTAGATGTTCTCTGATGGCTCCTCCTGCACTCACTCATTGGTGACGATTTCTGGTATGGGGCTGTGCACGTGGGTCTGCTTGTCTCTTCTGGGCAGGCTGAAGCCCTGGGTGAGCCTGGTGGCAGATCTGAGAGGAGAACAGGAAGCCCTTGTGTGGACACACTGACTTGGGTCTCTGTCGAGCACAATGGCATCTTTGGGGCACATGAGTTTTGGTCACGTCCTTAGCAGGAGGCAGCAGCAGATCAGAAAGTTGCACCTCTGGCTGGGTGTTGGGCATTTAGCCTCGAGTGTTGGGGAAAATAGTGACTATCAACTGCTTTCCTTACATCAGAATACCTGCATTGTGCTGTGTTCTGTATGTAAGGACTAAACACACATCAATTTATTCTTTAGGAGGAGCATTCCCTGTTACAGTAGTAAAATCCCTCTGTCAAAATTAAATGCAATTGGGATTTATTTCTGAGACTAAATAAGCTGTCCTCTGTTAGTGTTAGGAGGCATCGTGAGCGCTGTGAGCTTTCAGCATAAACTTCTGTTTAATTTTAGATTGGGGTTTAGATAAACAGTTTTATTCTTGCCTCATTAATGCTTAATCTTGTGTTACATAATCCACAATATTGGCTTCCTGAGTGGCTCTTCAGTGCAGTGCATGCATGTGGGGCTTGCGGGGTGCACGTGCTCCAGGCAGCACAGTGCCCTGCAAAGTGCTGGGGGCAAACACATGGCAGAGATGCTTTTCTCCTTTGATAGTGGGATAATTAGGTGAAATCCCTGAGCACAAAGTGATCAGTTAGTCCTACACTGGCATCTTAGTGTTTACTCTTCATGATATAACTTACCAGCAGCTGAATTTAATGGTGTCTGTAGCATGGGCGTTATCACCGTTCTCCTTTCCCAGAGGAAATATTTCCTGTTTGATGGTACATTCCCCAAACGATGGGATGTTAATACACTGCCTGATCCAGGCGTATTATTTTCTGACTTTTCCTTGCTGCAGAAGCGTTCAGAAAGGGACGAGCTGTGTAAGCCTTTTCTGCTTGAAAGCTGAACCTTTTTCCTTAATAACTTGCTTTCGCCTCAGCACGGGCAGAGCTGAAATTTTCCATTAGAGTTTGAAGTGACTGCCAACATAAACAGCCACCGCTCCTTTTCATTCCTGTTCCGCTCACTGCTGCTGGTGCTTCCATGGCAGGGACGATACAGATAGAGGGTTTTGTTCTTGGTACAGCAGGGCCTGGGCTTGGCGTGTTACAAGACGATGGCCGATATCCTGCTGGGCCCCAACCCCAAGCACAGGCCCAGGCCCTGGTTGCTCTCTTTTCCTGTGCGAGTAAAACCACTGGGTTGTTTGCATAGCTAATTCTTCTGTAGGGATCGGGCTTTCATTTTTGGTTGTCCTTTTTTCAGCCAAGCTGATTGGGTCCGTTTGGCTTTAAGGGAGTGCAGCACACACAGCCCGGCTCTCACTGCTCTCCGGGAGCAGAAGAAGCGAGGCAGAGCGTTGCATGAGGCGCTGAGCTCAGACAGAGGTGTGCATGGATTTGATTGGTAAGCTAAAAGCAGATCAGCCATAAATGGGGTTCAGTCTGTGTATTCACTGCGCCTTGGCTTGTTTTCTCGAGTTTAACTGTTAAATCTATCGCAAATGTCACCGTTTTATTGGATAATAAACCAGAAGGCTTTGAGAGGTCTTAAAGAGACATAAGCGTCGTGGTTTCCCTCTGGTGCACACCGTGCCGTCTCCATCTGGAAAGCTGGCCTGGGTACTCCCTTGTTGCTCTCATTTCTGTTTTGGACACAACGTACTCTGCAGGTAAATACTCTTCTCTCCTTCAGGCCGTGCTGTGGGAAGGGCAGCACCGCATTGCTGGCTGTGCGACTGAGGGCTCAGCTTCCATCTTCTGAGCCCCGGTGCCCCTTCCCAAACCTTGGTGCCTCTCTCCATTTCAGAGCAAGGAAAGCCACGGATGGACGTTCCCCCCTCCCCTGTGCTTTGTTTTTATTTATGTGAAGTCTCCCGAGATTTGCACTTCATTTTCCATCATGTGATTTGACTTTTGTGTTCTGAAGGTAAATTCACAGCACCACGAGGAGCCCGGCCGTGCTGTTGGTGCTGAGCCCTGTGTTGGTGAGGGGCAGAGCAGAGGTGTGCTCACCGTGCCAGTGGGGCTCTCAGGTTGCATTGAGCACGGATAATAAATCAGCTCTGTTTGCGCTGTGTTTTTGTCTCCTACTTTACAAGATTGAAACCCATTGTTTATTTTTCTCTGAAGGTTTGAAGGGAGGTGGAGGAGAAAGATTTTCACAAGCAAAAGAAGGCCATTAGGCGATTGCATTGTGTTCTGTCAGAGAGCCAGCAAGGACAATTTCTGCTTTGTAGGGAAAAGTATGTGTTGGAAGACTTAAGCCAAGGTGATTTGGGAAATTGATACAGTATTGTCTCAGTCTTTCTCTCAGTAACAGAGAGGAAACAGTGCTGCTTCCCTCCTCCTCATCCTTGTGCTGCCTTTCCCTTACCTCTTTTCATAACTCACCATTGCAGGACGTTGTTATTATTTTGTTTATTTTCTTACTGTAAATTTTCCTTTTTGAGCATGAAAGTCTGGCCAGAATGTTTTTGTTCATCAGCAATTGCTTACCTTCCGTTCTGCGTTTATCTTTCCCTGTGAGAAAAGGCATTAGATGTTCTGTAGCTGTAGTCAGATTGTGTCAGACCCTCAGATGCTGATCCTGAGGTCCTATGAATCTCAGCCACAAAAAGTAGGTGTCTGTCTGACAGCTCATACCCCTTGTTTTCGTGGCTGAGTCTTTCACTTTGGCAAGGTTCTTTTCCATGGATGCTGTGCACCAAACAATGTCTTGTTTGTTTCCCATCCAGTTAGAAACTGAAGGTATTAAAACTTCAGAAGGTAAAAATAGAAAAGTCATATGAAGCAGCAGTGATGTTTGTGGAACATCCTGTCCTCGGGCAGCGTTAGAGTTATAACATTTGGGTGACTTCAGGAAGAAATTTGTCCATCTTACCCTGCCTGATGCCTGCTTCTTGAGCTGGCTTAATAGAGAAAGGGAGACATTTATTCTATGGGAGACATACGTGGCTCAGTGGCTCTGTTTTATGGCAAGTTAAACTATTTTTTGTGCATTAATATGGCATTCTGAGATGGTGTTGTCCTTTCTGAAGGAAAAAGAAGCAAAGGAGACAGCACAATGTAGGCCTCAGGTTGGAAGAGCAGTGTGTGTTAATGGTTGCTTTGTGCCCCAGATAGCACTGTAGGAGCTGTGTGTGTCTGCAGGGCTCTCTTGGCATATAGTCAGCCCCCAAATACGTCATTCAGGCCTAAATATCCCATAGTATGCTGCTATAAGTGTACTGTGAGAGCGAGGCGATAATAACTTCTGTAGACAGATGCACTCATTTTGTCAGTTTTGTTTCAAACCAGCTGTAAAAAAGCAGCAGTGCTTGATTGCTCTTTTTTTCTTATTTCCCCTTGCCAGGGAATGCCCCTTGGAATCATGCAGATCATGGAACAAACTCAGCACGAGGAGTTAAGAATAGTGGCTTTTGTAGGTAGGGGCTGTGGCATAGGGAAAGTGGAAGTGATACCGAGCCCTGTAAGCCTGCAACATCAACACCTAACATCACAAGCTGAAACCTGGTGTGTTTCCATTTCTACTTCATGTTCCTGAAAGGAAAGTACTGAGCAGTATGATGGAACTCAACTTGTCAGGGTGTAAAGAGGCAAATGATGTCTTCTTGAGGTAAGCACCCACTGCTGTCATCTCAGCAGCACATGGCTGAGATCAGCAGTGCGCGGTGCAGCTGGGGCTGAGCTACTGCTTGAACATAGGTCACCAAAGCAGGTCCCCCATGAAACCTTCTGCTTTTGAAATCCCACATTTTGGAAGGTCGCAGGAGGTTGGGATGGAGTTCCTTTTGGTTTCTGTTTTTCAAGATGAAATTTTGCAGCTCCCCATTTCTTTGCAAATACGAACTTAGGAACTTGCAGGAAAGGCAGCACGGTTCTCTTGTAATTGCTGGATTTTAGCACTTGGGAGTTGAGGTGCTACAAGATTGATGACAAGATGAAAGGTGTGAGCAGTGCTGGTGCAACTCCGTGTTGGTTCTGGTCCCCTGGTCAATAGAAGCTGGACCAGTTTGCTGCCCCTCCTCTCTTCCCTTCCTGCCAGTTTCCCTGACACAAGCTGAGTTACTTTGTGCAGTGCCTCTAGACCCTGATGTTGAAGGAGGGTGCATCCCAGTTACAAACCAGCTCCTTCCTCGTGCAGTTGGAGAAGCCCTCCTGTTTGGTTCCTGAGCCTGCGTTGTGCCCTGTGCCCCGTGTTGTGTGAGCACCAGTGCATCCCATAGGAGCTCCTGATTGATTTTGCTCACTCTGCCCTTCTCTGCGGTTCAGAAACCTCTAATGATCTGTGAAGCTCCAGGATTTCTGAGTTGAACAGTAGTAGTTATAAGAACCCCGTCTGCTACATAACAGCCGTAATGCTTTCCACATGCTGTGTTTTTGACCTCATGAAAAGCTGACCTCACACAAACTCAGCTCGGAGAGGAGCTAGGTGTTCTGGCCAGGCCCTGGGAGCACTGTTGTGAGATTCCAGGGTGGGAGGGGGAAATAAGTCACGAAAACTGATGGCTTTTGGCCAGCAAGGAAGATGTGGTACAGGGAACGAGATTGTGTTGCTTTTGTTACTTTGTCTGAATGGCTTTGTTTTTGGTAAGCTTAATTATGGCTCTTTTGTTTTTCTGGTTATGGCTCAGAAGGTGATCCTTGCCAAAGCGTGACTCTTTGATAACCTGAATTGCTGTAGGAGAGAGCTGGAGAAGTAAAGCTTGCTAACTAAAAAAGAAAATCCACTGAGCCATAAAACCAGCCCTTCTTATTTTCTTCTTCCTGCACCCTTACCTCTGTTGCTTCCCATCTGTTCCTTTTCCTTCCTTTAAGCCTCCTAGGCTCTGTACCTTAACATTAGCCTCTCTTGTTACAGATTTTACTTGCTAACAGTTTTGATACTCGGAAATGATGCTCTATCGTTTCAACTTAGCAGCCCAAGATGGGGAAAAGAGAGATTCTGCCACTGTCAGTGCTTGGGTATTGTTTTTCAAAGCCCCAGATACGCTTTCTATGTTGCCTGTGAAGGAGAGGGCACACCATATGAGCACCATGGCCCCATAAGTTGAGCATTGGCTGCCTGGTGCAGTAAGCCTTCTGGCCTGCCCAGCATTCTTGACATCCACTCGTGTTTCAGTGTGCTCTGCAACTTGGATGTCAACAAGGACTGTGCTTTCTGCTTAGGTTTCCTTTCATTGCGTTGGAGCAATATATTTGCAACGTATAATGGCTTAGATAATGGAAGAAGGTAATTTGCAGAGATAAGTGGTTTTTTGATCTCGACCTCAGTTTTGTTCTGGGGGATTTAATAAACAGATGCAGAAGTGATTAAAAATGTGCCATAAACTTTGCATATTCTGCTTGTTTAAAGAGGATGTGGAAACATGCATTCATCCCCATTCCCTCTGTTGCATTAGATCTGGCATGTAGAATAACTCAGTGGGTTGCATATCTAGACTTTCGCCTTGTTAGGATGAAGTGGCATGGACAAAGGCTTTCCACCTTCGGTGCTGTGTTAAAGTTGTATTGATTTAACAATTCCAGCTCATGTTCTTATTCTGTGCCATTTGATGTGATGGATTTTTGTTGCCTGGCTTTAGAACATTCTTTTGTTGTGAGCGTGAGAGCTTCTAAAAAGAATTTGTCTGCTCAGTGCGGGCACATAGGTCTCCTTCCTATCCCTCCATTATTTATATCCTTGTAAGGTGAGTAATGTTTTTGTTTCAGAAGAATCTCTATCTGTCTTGCACTTGTAGCCTTTCAGAAATGCTGCAAATGGCTTTCAGATACAGAACGAAAAGGAGGGAGGAGTCTTGGTCACATTTGAGCAGAGAGTTTTAACGTGTAGCTGTCCGAGATGTATTTGGGATCAAAGCGTTGGAAGGAAACCATGGGACCATGGCAGGATTTGCTGTTGGCAAGTTGTGTTTAATGGGCATGTGTCTGCTGTAAAGAGGCAGAAGGAGACTGTAAGCTGCTGGTGCTGGTCATTAGGAGTGACCCCACTTGCCTCTCTGTATCTTCAGAATGTTTCTCCTTAGAGCATATTAACAGTGCTGCCAAAGACAAATGAATGGGGTTGTTAAGCATTTAAGTGAAAATTGCCCTAGCGTTTTCCCTCCTCCATTTGCTCCCATAGTTCTTATCCCATGTTTACACAATCTTGAGTCATCGCTCTTCAAAAAAAAAAACCCACCCTGCTGACATTTAGGAATTGTGCTGTGCAAGTTTTCATGGCTTGAGCACTTAAACGATACGTAATAAATTCACATGAGCTGCCACTGAGTGCTTAGTTTTATATATGTCTGCCTTTGCCAAACCAGCCTTAACTTCTTGTTCTTTCGAGTTACTGAAGCATAGCTTTAACCTTTTCAAATGAACTTCCATACAAAAGATATGGGCAATTCTTAGACTCAGGCTTCACATTGTGTATGATTTCTGTAGTTGCCATCTTGTGCCGAGAATGGGGAAGGAGCCCTGCAGGCTGCAGATAAACAGCCATCCTGGCATGCTGCTCTGTGCGCCCATCCTTCCTAAAGGTCATGTTGGAATGGAAGAAGAAAATGAGAGTGGCTGGGACTTCTTATCTGAGGAATAAGTTCTCTGGGCTACTGATTTTGGGGCGTTTTTGCTTTGTTCTCTCTCCAGGAATGCATCATCTTTTCTCCAGTGCTGAAAGAGTCCATTGTGTAGCTTGCTTCCAAACGCTCTGCTCAGCAGCCTCCAGCATTTGCAGCTTTCCTGGGGTGTTTACAATCCCTTGGCCAAAGGAAGGCTCTTAGGAAGTAGTTCCTTTAATGGGGATAACGTCTGCAGTTGAAATCTTTGCAGATTGAACAGTGCAGGGGACGACACGGCTCTCCCTGCCTGTGGATGGCTGTTGGTGGCTGTGCTTTCCATTTTGTTCCATTAGAAGAGTTCTTGGAGGGCAGTAGGAAAGTAAGTTAGATGCTGCCAGAGCTTGCTTGCCTCTGCATTATTTCCCCTTGTCACTGTAATTCATGTTGACGTTGCCTGCTTGGAGGCTGCTGGCTTCCTGGCAGCTCCAGGATCCATCAGCAGGGACGGATGCCTGCTGCAGCGCTGAGAACCTGGGCTGTGGGCACCCGTGTCTGCTGAACAGAACCAGTGTGCAGCCTTCAGTTACATCCTTCAGTGGGTTAAAGAGCCCTTTTGTAAGGATGCTCATACTCGGTTTGCTTGGAAGCACTTCTGAAGGTCTGCATGGGCAGGATGTGGGGTGAGCCGCGGTGCTGGCACGCTGCAGGTTGTGCACCTGCTGGGGCTCCTCTGGGTGCCTGGTTTGGTCCTGATGAGTAAGCAAACTGCAGAGGAAGCTGGATGGTGAACCAAGAAAGGCTGTGTTCGTGTGTGTGTGACAGTGAGAGTGGATGCAGCTTTGAAACTGCTTTGCTGGTAGTGTGGATGAGTTAGGGGAACATGAGTAATGGAAAACGTGTCTTATTGCTTGCAGTGTCCCAAGTGCTTTCTGCAGGGAGCGGGCAGAGCTGGTGGGTTAGCAGCAGCTTTCTTCTGAGGAGGGAAATGCAAAGGAAGAAGGCCTGCAGTGCTTTTTAGAAACAAATCAAAACCCAAAGTGAATACTCACCATCAGTATAAGAACTCTGTTTGAGTTTGGAATTGTATATGTTACAGCTTTGGATGCTTTGGGGACTTTGAATTTAAAGTGTCCTGTGGAAGTTGATGCCTCGTCGTGCTCTCCTTGTGGGTGTTACTGCATCCAGGGTAATCATCTGCTAGGATTGACTGTAAGGGAATGAATCTGTGTTAACTGAGGCTTTGCTGGGCTTTCTTGTTGGGCATTGGGTTTGTTGTTTGCAGAGTGCTGCAGGTAATGGATCAAAACGAGTGACCCATGCTGTGCCTCGTAGCACTTTCACCTTTCCCCACTTGTAATCTGTTCAGTAATTCAAACGTCCTTAGAAGTCTTTATATCCATGCAGTAAATAACTGTTCTTTCTGATTGTTCCTTCTTCAATGGAAAGCAATCATATGCATAGGTATCTCCTTGCAGCATTCAAATTGCAGTTAATTTTGCTTTTAAGCGCTGTGGTCTCACTTTCAGCTTTTCCACGTGGGAAGGTTGGCTAGCACACTTGTTCAGAAAAAACGTCATTTTGCTGCAGAAAGTTAAACTGATGTGCAGCAGAATGTGCCTGCTCACAAACCTGGCCATTGCACTGCGTGTGCCCCACTGTTCCTCTGGTTCCTCCTCACCTTGGGCGATGGAGGCTGGGAGGGATTGATGGGAACGTGGGGAAGTCACACTGTTGTTTCAAATTGTAAGCAAATAAATGAAACTCCCCCACAAAACATGCACACAAAACCCCATCATTCCAAATCCGTTGCCTGTGTCTGCTAACACTGCAGGCTTGCATTCAGGCAGGCACGAAGGATCTCCCAGCCATGTGAGCAGCGGTGCTCCCAAAAATTAGTTTCCAAGGGTAAGGTTAGTGTTAGCCTTTGGAGATCACTGATGCCCTATGGGCTGCCCGGCTCCTTTATATTGCTTTATATTGCTTTTAATATTCAGATGTGGGGCCAGTTAGCTCCAGGTTCCATGGTTCTCTCTCTGGCATGTTCCATGGGTCCTGTGCCACATTTCTCTCATAGGCAAACCTACCTTGGTTCTGATGCTGTTGCTTTTGAAGATAAAAATGTCTTTCAGGAGTATTGCCTTGTGAGCTGAGCTCT